TAGCTTCTTATAACTTATAACTCACTCATCGTTTTTCATAGCTTCCTCAGAGCTTCCTCATAGCTTCCTCATGGCTTTCTCAAAGCTTGCTCATTGCTTTTTTATAACATCCTTAAAGCACCCTTATAGTGTTTATTTTTTTTAGGTTTTTTAGTTGAATATTTAGAGCAACATAGACCAAAAAGCGCCGAATCAAACGTAGATAAGCCGGTGGTCGCTTATTATTAGTCACTGTAGATTACGTTTAAGGTAATCTGAAACGATTTTTCAGCTATTAGTATTCAGATATGAATTGGAGGGAGATGCCTTATCGGCATACCTTTGGTTAACATTAGTTCACATGACGTTTAATCTGGCCTAATGAGTACCGATATTTCCACCTGTGTGTGTCACCGGTCTCGTTATTAGAAAAAAATATGGGGCCTCGCTTTTGTTGGCTTGTTAACACTTGTACATGGAACTGGTAGATGCTAATTCCGGGATTAATTAAGGCATTGTTTCTGCAATTGTGTACCGATATGTTTGAAATATTTTTTTCCTATTTAGGCGCATTTTTTTTAATTACAAAGCACCGAATTTATGAAGCATCGCAACATGTTATAACGCTATTAAACTAACCGTATCCCATCCAGGGAAATTTAATTAATTTCGAACCCACAAAAACTATCTATTCAATTAATGTTATCAAGCGCTTTAAATCATGTCTATATAAGAAACAAAAAGAAATCGGCCGACATTTTTAAACACTTGTACCCGGCAATTTGGCCGATAATTATACGGGCAACACCGAAAACAAAATATGTAGTAGCCTAATTACATTGTAATTTAACGGAAGTTCCACGATCGCCGAATGAGTTATTCCATTTCACGTATCTCCGGCGTCGTTATTAACATCGAATCGACAGCTATTGGATTACCCGTTCGAAAAAATATTTACGAAATCCTCGTGAAATTTTCCGGTCGAACGGCCCGAGCGATTCGTCCGCGATCACTTCCTAGTTTTCTCGTATATTTTTCAGCGCCATTGGCCGCATCAATTATCGATTATCTGGTATTAAACGTCGAAATTAGTCGATTGGAACTTCTTAACGAGATTAATTGCGCCAGCGGCCGAAATTATGTGCTCGCCCAGGATAACATGTTTTAATAGTTGTATAGCATAATTTAAATAAAAGATTTCGTTTAAAACGTGGCGAAGAAGTAGATGAAAAATGGCAGTAGAAAATTTCTCGATGAGGAATTTGTGGGATATGAGGAACTATATGTAAAATTAATGATTATTATTAAAACGTGAAGATTAGCAGCTTTCCTATTAATTAAAAAAAACTAATTAATTAGTACTAGTTTATTAACCAATAACTGTACTTAACTATAGACCTAAAAAGCTCTTAGAAGTACCTAAATATTTTCAACTTTTTCACTTTTAATTGAAATGAGTAATTAATTAGTACCAGAATAATTAATGCATCGAACATGACTAGATCTACGAAGCACCTTTTTTTACGAATTACAACCGGCGGAATCCTTACAAGAATTGCGAAACACTGGTAAAGTCCTAGTCACGATCGTACGGAGGCGTGTTAACACCAGTTGTTTGTATAGTCCCCGGTGCGAATTACAACATTTATCGGAATTAAAACATTCCCGCTGCCGGTGCTTAGCCTAATGCCGCGTCGTACCGAATAACCATTCGAATGAGCTGTCAAAGGAGCCACGATAAAAATCGACGTAACCAACGATTTACATACCAACCTTGCTGCCGCCGACCTGCCCGAATGGGATCCATTCAAAATCATAATCGGCGAAACGAACAATACGCGGCTCTATATCTGCATTTTGGGTGCCGTGTCGTCCGCTTAACGGCAGCCTAATCTTCGAGAATTATTAATTGGATCGATTGTCTAATGTAATCTAATCTAATGCCGGCAGGTATGCTTGTTTGCATGAATAATATTCCGTGTTTCTAATCCGAATTTGGAGATTGTGAAGAATCGAAAACGGGAGCAGCTCTGACAAATACCAGCGGCGAAGTTAATGAAAGATATAATGAGAATTATTACGATGAGATTGCTCGAATTAAAATTACGCAAAAATATACATAGTGATCCCGACCGCGACTCGACTATCATGCGGCATTTATGTTAATTACACCCGAGCCGATTAATTAATACGTACAACTTTCTAACGATCCGAAGATTAATGTGAGATTTTAAGGCGGATTCCCACGATTGATGCAATTGACAAATATTTATGGCTTTCAGATACGTTGCGATATCGGACCGGGCGACCATATTTTTTCGTCTCTATTTCGAGTAGGTGTCCCGACGCTATATTCACTTCTATATTGTATATATTCCATCGAGTCGTTGCGACACGCCGAAGAAACCGATTTATTTATTGTGGGAATCCCTCAGATTTTATACATTTACAATTTACAACTGTACAAGTAATTTATTTCCGCTTTAATTTCCTATAACTATTAATTCTTAATCACTTAATACGCATATTTAGTGTTATTACCTTTGGTGAAATAGGTCATTCACAGGTATCAATTGTTAACTGTCAAATATCAAATGTTAAATGCCATTTGCAAACGTCGAATGTCAAACATTTACCGTCAAAGGATAACTGGATAAAATCGTACATTTGTGATAATTTCGCTGGGACGGAGCGTCGGCGATACGTTCGTGGAACAATAGTCGGAAAAATACAGGAGAAACGAGAAACGAGTCCTTTTCGGCTGCCGAACGGCAGTACATTACCGGCGTATCGCTGGCGCGGCATCGGCGAGGCTCGTCCGATTTCAATTACTAATTGGACAGGATGAGGATTCGTCCGGCAAAGGCGTAGACGGTGGATGGATTTCATCGAAAGCGGCGAGTCGAACGAGCGGAAATTCTTATGCAGATTTCCTGCGCGTTTCGTGCGAGCGGCATCGCGGCCAGTCCGGTACTGGTCGGATAAATAAAAAAAATATATATGGGTATAATATTATCGAACGAAAAATGTAGTATATGAATTATGCGTGGAGGAAATGCAATCGCATGACGAACGTCCAGATAGTATATAAGCTCTCGTAATTGAGATACCACCGGAAACTATTATTTATTAAATAATACCAATCTAACTCAATCCGAGAATTCCTGTAAACGAACCGTTTGCAATACTATTTATTTATATCCGCGAGCGTAATTCATGTAAACGCGTTCTGTACGGTTAGTGAAGGGTAAAAAAAAGGGGAAATCGAACATTAATAAATAATAAACGTATAGGATATAGAGAAACTAGTTTCTCTCTAATATTATATTAGCGAATCGGTTAGAATAAATTCTCCTTTCATCTTTATTCAAACTTTATTGCCCATTCAACTTATTTACTACCCAACATCATTCCAATTACTAAACTATAAAGGCAACTTTTCTATTATACTCAATCAACTCGACTGATTTTCCAATTAATCACCCCATCAATTAGGCAAATACTCAACTACCATATAATGCTATGTTTAATCTTGCATATAAACAGGAAACTTAGATCACCCGGTATACAAAATAAAAATACCACAATAACGGGTTAATAATGACATAAATCAAACCCGGTTTCGTTTGATAGTGCGATATTTCAACAAGTGGACAATAAAAAATACTCGAATAAATTATCATATCAATAGGTGTTAAATCCGCGGGTACGTTCCGTGAGATTTATAACTCGGGTTTCGGGTAAAGCGGACGAAAAAATTAATCGAAAATACGACGGAGGACACCCACATCATTTGGGCCATGCCCGATGCGACGACGACACGGCCTGGGTGGTCCGCCGTGAAAATTTATAAATTAGCCGTATTACTTGTTTAATTTTCGTTGACACGAGTCGCCTTCGATCCGGCCGAGGATGCATCAAACGTGAGTTTTCAATTAAAATGAAACACACACACACAACTCGTCCGGATTCTTTTCGAAACGACGTTTTTACCCGCTAATTAGTACGACAAAGCGCCGGTGATTGATTAACGATTCAACGGGCTCGTATCCCGAATCCGCCTCTGGTTATATATTCGGGCCGTAATGGACACCAGAACCCGCGTCGAAATTTATAGAGCGCTCCTGCGGAATTCCGATTGTTACATCAAAGAAAACCAAATTGTCAAAGACGTATATTAACAATTATTTAGTGTTATCGAACACAAAGTTCCCGCCACCTCCTATTAAACGAAAAGAGATTACTTTGAATTATTAGTGACCGAATAGTAATTAGGCGAGCGCGCTTAATTGCCCACCGTTATGATTTTTTTAAATAATTTTATAGTACACGAGCCCAACCAACTTTAAATCAACACCAACATTCCATCAATTCATCCATTAAATCATATACTGATGGATTATAACCTATACTTAGTACCTATACTACCCTAAAACATCCCTCAAACTTACACATTTTCGCTCTTCTTTTTAGTACAAACCTCCTGTTAAACTTTCGATGGCCTCTTACTTACAGACTATACATTCATAGGTGTTTCGTAACGCCTAAAAAATATATTCATTTAATTGGAACCTGCGCTAGTACGTAGGCTGTAACGATGTTAACTAATCGTTTCATGAATTAGATTTTAAAAATTTATTTGCGGGCATGTCCGAAACACCTATGCTCGATATTTTACCTAAGACCGTTTCCAAATCAATTAGAAATTTTAATTCTAACAGCGCGAATCGACGTTTGGAAATATTTTATTTATGAAGAGTATAGCAACGAAAATTTAATCTTACTTACCTAATTTAGTGGCTGTGTTAATAAATTTTACAATTTTGACGCTTGGCTGGATGTCTTATGTGGTAAGAATCCATAACAAATAGAACAGGAACTTTACAGGAAATTATAGTACTAAGTGGATACCCGATTGAATGGTTATTAAATTGATGCCTACCCATTAGTTTCTGTAATAACAAACAATGCGCCGGGGATGAATATTCATGCTCATCCGCCGGGGAAGAGCCTCTTTTTTTTTAACTGATGAGCGCCATTAGAGGAAATTTGCATATCTCGAAGGGCCCGATCGGTACCAGCGGGTCGTTCCTCCCGCTGTTCTTTTCGAAGACGCCACGCTGCGAGTTTGATCGCGAAGACTGCACCACTAATAACGCAACATTCCACGGAAAATTACACGAATTATTAGAGTACGGGCCGCGGACGATTAATTACGCCGGCCAATTAGCGCTTTAGGATGCGTTAAAATGCAACAAGTTTACAATGCACCACAGTTGTATGTAATTCATAAATTATTCTATTTTCTGACCAGTGACAATCACCCATAGTATGTACCAACTTTGCGAAGTTGTTACCATTTACAATTGCACTGTATAATGTATATTTTTTTGTGATATTAAACATAAAGCACGTGTGGTGTTCGATATATTCAGAAAGCCCACGGCAAAGGCTACCGTGCGAAAGTACCACAATTGAAAGTTGGTTCGGTACGATACGCAATTAAGTTTTGATTTATTGGCAATACTATCGATTCGAATATCTGCGTTCGCATTGTAAAATCCGCTCGTAGGTTGGTCGAGTTTCGATCGAAACTTCCCCATTTTTTTCTCTCCGGCCGGCGGAGATACGAGCCGATGAAAAAATCCGGGGGAAACAGTCGCAGAGAGAAAGTGTATCAAATGTAACTAAAATGATTTGTTATATTCTATCTTCTATCTCGGCTGTTTTTTTTATTTTTCTTTATCTAAATACAAACTTATTGTTAACTGTTTAACTTTCGTTACAACCTTGCAGCTGGCCAATAAATTATATAGAAATGTTATTAAGGTACTAATTTAACGTTACGGAATAAATTCGATATGTCGAAATGCGTTATTGTATTTTATTTTATGTTGTGTTTATTATTCAAAAAAATTGGGCGAAATGGCTATTTGCAGCAAGCCCCTCGTAAAATTCCTATAAATTATTATTGTACGAGGGGAATCCTATTTTTAAATATTAGTAGGTAGAATAATTGGTCAATTTTTTATGTTAATTCCACAACGGGAATCGAATTGAAGTGAATTATATGTATAGAATACAGAGTACTCGTTTTTATCCGGAATACCAGGGCTTGTCACCTCTTCCTCCTCGACGTCCCACGATCCCGCGGGCCGATAGCGACGACTAATGTTTCCAACTTGTTCGAACCTATCAATCAATCAGCGCATCGAAAACGCTCGACCGGAATTGAAATCTCCGGGATCTGGACGTCGTTACGATGCCGGCGCGCTCGGGATGTACGACGGAAAAATCCGTTTAGAAATGGATTTAGTCGAGTTTCGAGTTTAGTTTAGTTCGGTTTAGAATAAAGGCGGGATTGTAAATTTCATTCCGGCCGACGTTTCGGTATAACGGAATCCCAATCAGCGGAATTCGAAGCGATTGAGCGCTCGATTCGCCGGTGTACAGGTAGTTGTTTTGAGAATTTTAAATGGATATTGCGCGCTGTTAAATTGGAAAATGAAACGAAGCTTCTGCGAAACAGTAGATATTTCAGTACTTATTAACTTGTGCAAGCATTTTAATTACCAATATTGTCGAAGATATCGGATATAATTGTATATTTATATTTACAAAACCTTCGAAACGTTTTATTATCTAATATATGCTGTTTTTATGTCTACACGTTAAATATCTAATTAAAAATCGGATTTTAAATTTAATGAAAATTGAAGATTATGCATCAGAAATATGCTCTGTGATGTTAATTATCTTCGACACGAAAACACATAAATTTTCCCTTTTAACGGCCGCCTATTCGAATAAAATTCGACCACCTACTGAAAATATAATCTTCGGAGATACAAATAAAAATGTTTACTGTCGATTACGCGTTTATTTATCTACCTCTACACTCGCAAAACAATTAAACATACCAACCGCATTTCCCACAACAAACCGAACAAACCTCCTTTCTCGCGCGGAATTCATAATTCACCGGCCGAAATTTTCGCCTGGAAAATTCTTGGCAACCGCTCGTAGGTCGCACCTTGCGGCTTACCTATTTATCTGCAAGCGCAAAACATCGTTGAGTTATAACCTACGTTCGCTCGGCAGGTGGATCGGCCTTAAATAATTTTATTATCCCGAAATAAACGCGCGCTTTGTGCAATTTTAAATTAGCGCCTTTCCACGTAATTATAAGATAGTAAGTTGCATTGTACCATTTTCTAAATAACGGCTACTTATCATCGAATCTTCGGAAGCTCTACAGGGTGAGTTACGCTCAATTCGATGGAGTATTGTAAGCAAATGCGTGAAGAGATTTTTAAAATTCGAGCCGCCGCTGCTCCGCATCGAGCACCGAGCACTCCCCCTCGATTTCTCGATGTAACGAGAGCAGGACCAGGCGGCGAGTTGACAGGCCGAAGAGCCGGCCGAAGAAAGGGGTCGCATACAAAACGCCGGCCGCTGTCTCATAGCTCCCGGTCTGCGCTCTCCGCGCTCTCTTCTCTTCATCCTCGGCGACTTCTCGGCCCTGTCTTGGTCTTCTCGCGGGCGGACGCGCGTATCTTCCGACTGGTAGTCGCGCCGAATGCGCTCGCCGGCGACTTCAATGCGACCGATGCTCTTTTTCCTTTTGTCGAGACCGACGGACGAACGCCCTCGACTGCTGGACGCGACAGTGAAGGAGTCTCGCTATGCTTTCCTTATTTTTTTAATTCAACCACACCTATTATCCTGATTCCAACTAGATAACTAAATAGGTAGTAGAGTATTACATTGTACGGTGTTGGCGAATTCCTGCTACAAATAGCTGGATTAGTTCTAGAGTAGCGGCGATGTACTAAATTTGTCGAAGGAAGCCAGTTAAGCTCGTCTCGACAATGAAGCGAGATTATTGAATTAACGGGGCAGTCGTATGTAGAGGCATCCGATGGAACACTTCTGCACCGGTATGTTAACTCATAAAAGTTGACAAACCTGTTGAGATTGATCATCAGAGAAACGACAACTTCACGGCCGCCCCCGCTGGCCAAATAGACATCTGCTCGTCGCTGGTTCCACTGGCGTACCCAGCACAATATGTTCATCTCATTATTCGGAAATTTATTTAATGCAGAAATTAGAACCTTTATTAAAGGGTTAGAGATTCGATGGAGCTGTTGGTGTGAGGGAATAGCACAATTGACCCTCTGGTACAAGCCTGTTTCACCGAGTGTACTGACATAGTCCCGGTAGTAGAAATTTTTAACTATGTTTATTATAGGTTTGTGGAATTAGCACTATTGGTCCATTGTTAAAAGACTTAGTCTTGGTTTACCTTATAGTTTCTAAACAAATACCTAGTAATACTTCTTAACAATATTAATTTCCTTGCTTCTAACTGCTGTGTTGTGTAAAATGATGATTAATGTGTTAAAACATTTGTAAAATTTTGGTAATTTGGTTGGCTACGCCGCTGAATATACGAGGCAGCTGAACGACGGGATTCCATCAAAATACCCCAAAAAGTCCCGAGACACGTTGATTGCCCTCTCTCGCCAATTATAATAAATATTTTACGCGGTCGTAACGCAACAATATCTAGCTATAAACCGGGCGCGCAGCGCGCATTTTTTACCCGACGCTCTTATCTAAATTATTATCTTTTATTGCGCTTTGTGCCTCTTTCAACGCGTAATATTTTTCGTTTTAATTTACTCACAAAAAGCTACTTTCCTGGCGCGGTCGTTAAGCCGACTTTAGTACATTTACATTGACAAATTGGTTACCTACGCCACCTGACCAGATGGCGCTCAAGAACCTGACATTTGACAATTTAAACGTCAACTGAATAATTGTAGCAGATAAGGCCATGCGAAGTTGAAAAAGAAGTAGTTGTGTTATTCCCAGAATTAATATAAAAAAATGCGCGGATCTGCGGATTCGAAATGCGCCACAATAAATATAATTTTGAATTATTCGAGCGGCTACAGTGAAATATCGCAAACATTAACTCAACTAGATAACGTGCGATAAATTAATCCGGTAGATTTCGCGCGAGCATTTGCCAGAAAGTTGTAGGTGTGTATGAATTACTTCACGTGTCCAATTTCTGTCAACCAGAATAAGCGACACGACAAGCTATTAGTAACTGAGTTATGAATTATCGCGACTCGAATTTATTATTAAAAGGCGGTAAATTGTTGCGATAATCTCCCTGCAATTTTTATAAAGGAATATCGTAATATAGTTATGATTGAGGCATGTGAATTTTCGAGTATTTCGTCCGACTCTCCGCAGGTGTACCCTCCAACATTGTAAGTAAACGAGCCGGCATGCATGACCGAGGTATACCATATTTATGAAGCCCGTCGATTTAAATACACCCAGTTCGACCGATATCGAGAACGAGAGAGATGCCATTTTTAGATAATAAATTTCGCGCTGTAGGAAGTACCGCTCTCGACCTCGTACCGTCCGGTGGAAAAAACAACCAGGAGAAAATCCTCGTGTGCACGCACCTCGTCTTCCGCGTACCACTCTACCCCTTTCTCAAGCCTCATTTAGCCACTGATCAATCCGAAAAAGCCTCTACTACTCTTCTTATATTCAACTACTCATCATATTCTCAATCCCTTTTACAATCGTCATCATATTTGTTAAAAATATAGTAATCTGTACGGGTGTAATGAAAAAGTGGGTCATTAAAATATATCACTTATTCATCACTTTTTTTACACCCTGTATAATAATTCAAATGAAACTTTCATTACGTTTTAAGTGCTGTAATTAAATTTATACAGTATTTCTAATCAATTAAATTGATACGATCGATTTCGACGTTTATGAATTATCGACTAAAAAATACATCGAAAACGTTGTTTTATTTATTTTCGTGGAGATATTAAACCAAAATCCAGCTGCGAATTATCGTTGTATAGCGTGAGAGACTCCGGTGTAACATTTATAAATCGTAATTAACGACGACGTTATCACGGCTAATATTTGTAAAAGAAAAATAAGATGGAGAAAATATTTAACCAAGTTTATATAGCAGCTCGATAGTGTGCGTAATTTATTGCCAGTGGACCAATTGATGTGATTAAAAATGAGGAAGAGTTTATAAAATGTATAAGCGTTGATTATGTTATTAATATTTTTTTATTGAGATTATTAAGATAGTAAAAATTGGGGAATTTTTAAACACCTAGATTAAGAAACATATAAGGATTTTATCTATACATTTCCTTGTAGGTAAAGTTGGGTTATTAATTATTCGTTTTAATAGCACGTCGAGAGAGTTGAGAATGTTCCCACTACATTCGGATCGGTTTTATTTTATTTTTTCGCATCTTCTTATTTCGAATTTGCATCGAGATTTGTGGTGTCGCGTCTGGCGCGTCTGCGAAATTAAGCTAATTAAAATAAGTTATTTTCAAGCTTATTCGTGACATTGCGAAATTAGCGTAATACGTAATTATGTAAATCACAATAAGCTGCAAACACTTTGGACGTACAATGGTCATTATTCGTGAGCGCAGATCGGGATACAGTCGGATAATTCAAAACTAAAATAACCGCCGTTGATGAAGATAAAACATTTCATTCGCTCGACCGGCGCGCGTTATCACCTGTTCGCCCATTTACCGAGTTTATTAATTAGAAATTGGCAGGAAAAATCCCCGGCGGAATCCGTTTCGGGTCGATGGGAATCGCCGATTGTTTACCCACCCCGTTAAAGCGGCGAGCGCGGTCATCGGTCGGCGCGATCCCAATCTTAATTCCACTTAATATTTCGTACCGAGAAACCGATTCGTGGTGGTTTTATTGCGGCGAGCATCGTAATTTTTGAGGTAGCATCAGAACGATCGCCGCCGGCGACGCATCAAAGAACAAACTCAAAGTACCTATCGTTATATATATCATATACAGGACGTCCCTCATATGACCTTAATTTAGTTATTTCTTCTTAGTATTGCCTTGAATAGTGTATTGATTCGGTGTAAAAAAGTACACAAGAAAAATGATTGGGAAATCACAATGTTGTTACGAAAACAAGTTTTCCAATAAATTTATTGTATAAATAATTTTTTCAATGTATAGAATAATATACCGAGCGTTTATAATTTATTCTTCTTTTTACTTTATTATAAACACTTTTTTTTCTGCTACCCACAAATCTACACACAAATATTCTTAGTTGTTGATTCATGATTCGGTAATTAATGTAATTTTTTTGGGACAATCTGTATAGAGAGATTGAGGGTACGAGGCAAAAACGAGAATGAAAACAGTTAAGTACAGGGAGCCAGTGGTTTTTGCCCCGGAGCGAGGCAGGCTCTAACCGGACCGGTAGTTAAGGCGCGCCCACACACCCACCCTCGCCGCCATGGGCGCACTCGTGGGTGCTTTTTGATTTGTTCAGAGCTTTAATTTTTAAAATTACCATTCGAAAAAATTCGTTGCTAAGTACCCTGCAATTTTTTGTGAACTTATTACTAAACATTTTGTATAAAAATGGTGGAGGGGCTTACATTCACCCACCACAATTTCGAGCGCCTTGGGGCGCAATTCGGTGGAAATAGCACCGTTTAATTTGCGGCGAAATAAACGCCGAAATTCGCATCGATGTCGCGGGTAATCCTCTCGTAATCCTCGAAAAATACAACGTAATTAAAATATAAATATGAATTTAAATGCATAAGATGGGAAAACAGAGAAAACCCGTGACTTTTATGCACCATCGATAGAATTTATTAATATTATGTGGAGTTTGGTTCAAAGAATCGCCGCTCTCGCGGCTGTAGGAGGAGTTTATTATTAATTTCTTTCACATATGTAGCGGAGGAGATTTCGAAAATTTATGAACTATTAGATTTAAGATAACGCTACAGTTGTTTACGGACCATTACAGACGTAAAATTTCATTACCTATTACAAACTAATGATTACATTTATTCCACTTTAAAATAGTTAGTTACAATTTCGAACGATATGAGTAATAACGGCTAGTTATATGAAATAAACATATTTTTCGGATTTGACGCATCGCTAACCTTATATACCACAGGCCCATTGCCAAACACCTACGAGTTTCAGCGTTTTCGCCTCGTGCTTTTTGTTTTCCGCTTTCGCATAAATACATCGTCGTTTTCTTCGCCAGTTTTTGGACCGAGCTCAGCCACGTCCGCTGTAACTAATGAAGACATTGTTGCTGAGGCATAACTCTCGTTTCGCTTCCTCGATTCGACGCGAGATGTCAGCATGTCGGGTCGCAGAAAAAGAGGAAAACCGCTCGGAAAATTCTATTTTCTTTCTTATAGTGTATTTCAGTATTATTCGTGCGCGTTACAGTAAATTTAGCACATATTCAACAGCGCGAGGTTTATACTTTTTGTAAATACTTCATCACGTTACGCGCTCGCTAGAGGATCATATATGAAATATGCTTTTGATATATTTAGATATTAACATTTTACACTACAACTTCATTTAGGGAGTTATGGGATTTCTTTATGAATAATAACTAGTAACTCGAATTGGATAAATTCTTTGTTACAATAATATCGCTATAGGTTGCTAATGCTTGATTACGATCACCCTGTGAGCGTATACGATTCGCGTCGTTAGTCTCGGAATTCTGTCCGCTTGAGAATAATTCCCAGACTAATAAATGTTCTGCCCCTGCTAAAACGAAATTAAGTCCGGTTTTTTGCTCGTTTTATCCCGAGTCAGGTGTGCGTTTGGCCGAGAAAACGTCGCAGCACGGGAGCTCAGCGTACGACAGGAGGCAGCGATTTGTTGACTTATATGCGACACAAACGACGATGATCTCGTTTTGCAAAAAAATAAAACAAATCCTATAATGTGTTATTTAACATATGCACCATAATTTATTCCCGCTATTTCAATACGATAAGTTTTTTTAAACCAAAAACCGATAGTATATTATACCCAACATTTAAAATCGTGTATAATGCACACGTTACAAATTAAACCGCTGGGAAAACACACGAAAAATTGACCTTTACGAGCGCGATGTCAAGCGCGGTGGAAGAACAGGATTTCTTCCTACCTGTGTGTACTTTCGTTAAAAAGTTAAATTAAAATATTTCCCACAATTTCCTCGTTTATCACCTTCATCACTCACTCGCGCGTCACCCGAATCGCCCGACCTCCCTTATCAAACGACTCGGGTCGTGTCATCTACGAGCACCGACGTAAATAATATACCTTTTTCCGAGTAAAAAAACTCGCTTTTATAATCTCGGGATTCCTCGCATACCACTAATTTTAACTTACTTTATTTAATTAAACAGAATATTATTACAACCACGCAAAACTTATTCCATCCGACCAGCATTGAACCAGAATTGCACCCATCACTTCCGCAGAAACAACTCGTCACTCCGACACTTTTTAATTGCGAATGTGAAGATACACAACCCTCTTCGTAAACATCTTCAATTATCTCGTTTTCTTCGATCCAAAGGTCGTTATCGAAGTCGTACCTCATGTATCTTTGGACCTGGTGGGCGCAGCCTCTTTCCACTCCAGTCTTGGGGCCGTGGAAGTCGGCGGTGTAGATGGTTTTCGTGCAAAAAGTAGAGTTGGGGCACTCTTTGAGGAAGTTCTGCGAGGAATCGAAGTCCACGCAGAGGTTTCTATGAATGTTCTGGTGCAGATGCGGCTCGAAAGGCTTGGAAGCGATGAAGCATTCGTAACATCTTAAAGAACTCGCTGAGGAGGTTAAATACACTAGTAAAATGAGAATGGAGATGTGCTTCATTTCACGATCGTTTTTTAAATAGAACAATAATAAATATCGTCGCGTTATTGTGAGTCGAGCTCTTTATTGAAGATGATTTAATTAGGTCAAATTTTCATGTGATATATCAATGCGTTCGGTTGATACATTTTGTTTTTCAAAACAATACAGTGAAATTTATTTAACGACCCTCGTAACTATACGTCAACATAATTTGTCAAGCGATTCGGTGCTGAACAGAAGAAAATGTTTCCTGAAGGATGCTCTTGCGAGTAAGCCAATCAACTATTATTAATTCGATCGTGTGTGTTAAAATGGATATTATTTTAGTGAACCAATCCACGGGCTACCGCTCGTCGGTAAACGCGCGCCCGTTTTCAAGGAAACGGCCCTACTGAACGGCTCCTTCAAGGAAATCTCCCTGGACGACTACAAGGGCCAGTACGTGGTGCTGTTCTTCTACCCCATGGACTTCACGTTCGTCTGCCCGACGGAGATCATCGCGTTCTCCGAAGCCGTCAAGGAGTTCAAGAAGATCAAGACCCAGCTGATCGCCTGCTCGACCGACAGCCAGTACACGCACCTGGCGTGGACGCAGATGCCGCGCAAGCTGGGCGGCCTCGGCGACGTCCACATACCCATCCTGGCCGACAAGTCGATGAAGATAGCGCGGGCGTACGGGATACTGGACGAGAAGGCGGGCGTCACGTTCCGGGCGCTGTTCATCATCGACGGCAAGGGATTCCTGCGGCAGGTGACGGTGAACGATATGAGCGTGGGGCGATCGGTGGAGGAGACGCTGAGGCTGGTGATGGCGTTCCAGTTCAACGAAGAGTACGGGGACGTGTGCCCGGTGAATTGGAAACCCGGCGAGAAGACGATCAAACCGGAGCCGGTCAAGAGCAAAGAGTTCTTCTCGACGAGGTACACATAGGCGTGTTGGTGATTACATGTGGCGAGAATTTATGGTGCACTTTTTTTGTTACCCACTGTATAGGGTGTTAATTAATAAGTGCGACAAACTTCTGGGGGTGATTCTGCATACACACCGTATCTCCAAAAAAAAGCTTTTGCGAAAATATTTTTATAGTATAGCAAAACATCATTATTTTTTCATGCAGAATCACCCTCTGAAGTTTGTCGCACTTATTAATTAACACCCTGTATATGTTAGTTTGGTGTAAACTCGTGTTGTTATGAATTGTTGCATAAAAACTACTAGTTGATAGCAAAGAGAATTATTAATTAAATTACTTCATTCTTTCACTCAATCAACTTTTAACTAAATTATATCTGAGCTGCTTCACCAATTCTACCATTTATTTCGTGATACTATTATAGTTATTTGGAGAATAATTTATGCGGTTGTTAGTGCGCGAGATAAATTTTTTCCCGGGACATCTTTAGTGCCAGCTCGAATCGTTGGTGTTGATATCTGCCCCTTTGATGTCTCGCAATCTCCTTCTACCTAAGTGAGTCTTCGTTGTCGTTGACCAAACGGAACATTTGTCGCGAATTATTTACGAGATAATTCCTGCCGGAGCGCTATAAATAGGCAAATTTGCGTTTTTCGATCTGGTTGTAGCGGGTTCGGTTATTAGAAATGCGCGCCTTTCGAGCGATAAAAAACGGGCGCGTTTACACAGCGATAAACGTCGCTTATTGAAACTTAATCCGTGATATATTGCTAATAGAAGGTATTTACTACCTGTTGGCATTGTAAAGTAGCACCCGCCTACAATTTATCTAGTAACATTTACGCCGGTTAATTTATTCGGAATGCAACAGTTCCCACGGCGTTTGGACCAATTGGTAAAAATTGCAAAACTGGAATTTGGTAGCCGCTTTTACCACATGCTCTTAGGTGTTTCGCAAAACGCATTTATATTCATCTAAGAATCGGCCGATATATCAAGTCGTTTGCCTAAAGGCAAGGCCTACCGACAGCCTTAAGAGGTCGAGTATAAATAAAGCACAAACACAATTATGAAGCCGGCGTTATTTATTATTTAAACGCCGTGCAATTAACTAACAATGCAACTCTAGCTAGCATACTTCGTTTCGTTCGATTAAAAAATTTCGCGAGAATAAATGGAATTGCTCGCATTCCGAACAACCGCATAAATCTCTAGTAGTTGAATTTATTTAGTTAATACATTTTTAATAATTAATTAGACGTTAAAATTAATGGCCGAATTATCGAAACTTCCTTAACAAATATTTATTGCGTTTCGAGTTTTTCTTATAAAAAATAATTTATACGTGTTAGCCGGCGATTAAGTCGAAATTTTGGTACATTCGAAAGCATCCCCGCTGTTTTATAGTGATTTATTCCGTCGAACATTCGTCGATATAAAATAATTAAATCGGATTACCTGCGGTGGTGTAAAGTCCGCGGGGAATTTTCTCATTTTCGAGAAATATTCTTACTTTTATTGGAATTAATAACTTAATAGGAATGTATAAATTTTACCAAAAAGTTCCACTAGAGTTACCAATATTTCATCGATCAATTACTAGATGATTTCAATCATTTTTTTTCTACAGAAATAGTGAACAAACTACTATAGGTATTTTAATTTCTTCTTCCAACTTCAACATATTATTCTTTTACATATTAGTTCAATCAAGTCTAAATAAAACAACACAACATTACTCTTATTCCCTATTAAGCGTATTAAGTGGACTTTGTAGAGCAACTAACGATACCAACAAGCTTACAATAGAACGGCAGTTTAACACGTAACCCAATTTTTTCCTCTAATTAACTCATTATCGCCGTTCGGAATCGAATCGAATACACCAACTAAACAGAAGCCACGGAAATAAATAGGCAGATATCACGTACGGGCAAGAGAAATTGCGTTTATTAAGTCGGATGGGACCACCGGTACGGCCGGTACGTGTAACCATCCGTCGGTACTTTACCTACGTAGAGGTAGCTTAAAGTGATTTAGGGTTACATTAGGACAATTTATAGTTCGATCTGTCAAATACGCAATGATTTGTTAGTGTGATTGGATAGATTTTGTACCTTTATGCGCGCGGTTTTAAAATGTTGCACGGGACGCGACGTCTTTATTATTTATAATGGAAGCGAGCGATAAATCGCACGTAGCATATAAACTTTTTTTATGCCATAGGAAACATGCTTATAGCGCGTGACATATGTATGTCAATGTATTCGAATGTATTGTAGATGCTAATGGTTTTTATTTTGAGCTGTTGCCCGTGTAATAATAAGTCATTTCGGTCGAGACGGGAGCGGGATAAAACGCGAAAAAAAAAATGCGGTTCAAAGAGGTTTAATGCGTTGTAAACTTGGCATAATTGCGTGACATTGATCTAGTGGTCTGTTGTTTTAATAGCTCGGCGTCGGCGTCGTCGAAATTCATTCGATTCTTCGATTGCGGCTTTTCTGCGAATTTATTCGAATTTGCATTCCCCTAGATGCGTCACCTTTAGAGTAATTTCTGGTGAAAAAAGGCAGACAAAATAGAGTGGAGATACATCTGGAGCTCGCGGGAATGCGAAATTACAAACATACGAGCGAATGTTATGCATCAGACTACACAAATTCTTAGACCGGTGGAAATCTTGGACGCGGACATTGCTAAATCGAGCGCGGCTTTCCCTACGACAATCACAAAAAAAACTTTTAATGAAATTAAATATCACCTATCACCACGCGCGTCCATAAAATATATCACCAAACCATAAATTGTAAGCGGTAATTAAATACAATATAAATTTCAACAAAGTAACAGCACTATTAAGTTAATTGTTAGCTTAATTACTCCTTAAAAAAGTATAAAAACTGTAAGTTTGTTTACTTATTTAAGTCAGTTGCAGGAGCGTTTAACATACTTTCCAGGTAAGTTAATTTGTCGTTTGCGAACGGGGGAAACGTTCGGTCGATTAATCAAATAATCGATCAGTCAATCGGGAGGTTTTATCTCGACGTTGCGATCTGCTTAGATACATTTCGCCGTATTATTGTCGGCGATTTTGCAAGTTAGTGCTTTCTACTGACTTTTTACGATTCGCAATTAGATATCCCGTAAGTACTGGCGATTGCGAAAACAGCCGAGTTGATAAGGATAGTCGTGTTGGTGCGGTTTTTTTCTCGTCGTTTTTATTAAACTTGTTTATTATATAAAATAACTGATTTATGGGAAGCTTTTAAGATCTTTCGGCGAGCTGTAAATAGGAGTTTACACCGCGCGTTTGTTTTGGGCGGTGTGTAAACCTAGTTTTAGAGACGCAACATGTCGCAGTAATACTCCAACAATTGCTTATAAAGCGAGGTGTACACGGTGCATTTGATTCGCACGGTGTAAATTTAGCTTTAGTATTAAATTGCGTGTAAAGCTGGGTTTACATTGCTTGAAATGCCACGCGAAATAAGTGTAAATAACGCTGAGTAAATTCCATTTTTTTAAAGAGAATTTTTCGTATATTGACCCTCGCAGGAGTTCAAGAGCAAACTGTCATTTGACGCGGTTGTGTCAGTTTAGCAAGATTCTTTTTTGTGCGGTGGCGTTCTCGCCATTCGATATGAAAATTCCGCGAAAAGCTGACTATAATGTAATGTGACTACATTTAGCTTGTAAACGAGATGATAGCGATGCGTTATCGCCTTAAACGAGACAATGAAACGCAATCAATGTTTCCTTGTGTACGTTATTTAAATATAATAAAATTAGGTACATAAATTCGTAAATCATACACCATTAAGGTTCCCAAGAATCCCAGAAATCCCAGAAAGAACTCCCAAGTACTGAAAAAATTAATTTCAGGTGACATTATGAATAACAATTCAGCTGATTCCACCAAACTGTCATGTGCATATAACAGGAACATATTGCTGTGGAACAAACCCACTCTTACTTATTATCGAAGAAGTCCTTGTTTATTAGATATTTATTTATTTATGCCGGCCCTATTTGTTCTGGTTGTCCCACGACATCGCATCAACGGACACCCTATCGTTAACGGATCGTTCTTTGAGCGTCGCGTATTTACGAGCGCTTGTAATTTTTGAACGAGTGCCAAGTTTAGTCGTACCCGTTTTCGCTTTTTCGAATGTACAGTGTCGTGTTTGCACATAATAAAACGGCCGTAAACGCTACGTTTCGTTGTAACTGTAAACTGTAACTCTAAAAACCCGAATAATTTATAATGCGTTTATGGTAATTTCGGATTCGAGATCGACGAACGGGAAATCGACGTCGATTAATATGGGGAGGAAAGCGAACAATTGATTAATATGGGGAGGAAAACGATTAATCGATTACCTAATATGGGGAGGAATGTAATTAATCGATTATTATGGGAAGGAGTAGTGTGTACATCAAAGTTGTTGTTGGTATAATTTCGGGTTGTTAAGTTTATTAACATATACATAGACATAAAACTAATTCGAATGGATTAGCATAATTTTCGCATGCATAAATTAGATTATGTGCTTACCTTAAATGATTTTGGCGTTTAAAAGAACGTTAGCGGATATTTAAATGCGAATTAAATGTTGATGTTAAAATAACGTTTATAAAACATTTAGCTTCTTAAAGGGAAGATTTCTGTAATTTGGGGAAATTACCCGCGTATACGTGCGGGAATATTGTTATGATTATAAAACATCCTAATTTACAATATATGTAGGTACATTAAAATCTGAAATTTTATGTTAATTTATTTTACCAAATTTTATCTTAATATTTGAATTTTTTAGTTACAAATCTCTAAATTTTCCAGTATCATTACCGATAATGATTTTTTGCATTGTTTGCAAAATAATTTGAAATTCATAATAGGTTTAGATATATCATATTTTACCATTTTAGAATATTCATATATTTGAGATCATATATAAATTATGCGGAAAAATTGTATTAATCAGTTAATTGGCATTTCCTTAAATAACGACATGAATTTGAAGCTTACGATATGTCTGGTGATAATTGCTGTTACTTCCATTAAAGCGCAGGTAAGAAATTAATTATATTGATTCGCTTAAAAATTTGTTAATTAAATTTTAATATAGCAAATCCACCTACAAATAGCTAATGGGCCGATATTGGGGAAATCTGGCTACACAGCTGGATCGAATAAGCCTTGGAGCATGTTCCTAGGAATCCCTTACGCCGAACAGGCTAAAAGATTTCAGGTATATATCAATTGATGGTAATAATAGACATTTTAATATTAATATTACTATCATTAGCTAGCAAAAGAGAAACAACCGTGGACAGAAGAAATCGACTGTACCTACGATAAACCAGCATGTGTCCAAGGTAGTCCAGTCAAGGGCTCAGAAGATTGCCTTACATTGAGCGTGTACACTCCAAACGTAACTAATCCAATTCCACAAACATTACTTCTACTAAAACCTAATCGATTTAAAGATACAAGGTAGCTATCCGGTTCTGGTGTGGATCCACGGTGGTTACTTCACCAAAGGAAACGGTTCTTACGCCGCCCAACCGCCCGATAATCTAGTAGACGAAGGCATCGTCTTCGTTCAAATCCAGTATCGCCTCGGCATATTCGGATTTCTCAGTACCGAAGACCTAGCTTGCACCGGTAATTTGGGACTCAAAGACCAGCAGCTCGCCTTGCAGTGGGTGCAGAAGAATATCCAATATTTTGGAGGCGATCCCACTAGAGTTACTCTTGGCGGGCAAAGCGCTGGTGCTGTGAGTGCTTCGTTACATTTGCTATCGCCCAAATCCAAAGGTATTAAAATAACCTTAATGTGGAACCGTTACTCTCTACTAATGGTGGTTTGGTTTTGTTCAAATTATTCTGTATGGTAGGTTTGTTCCATGCAATGATAACCAACAGCGGTAGTCCTTTGAACCTATGGGCTTTGAATAGAAGAGCTAGGGAGACTGCTTTTGGTATTGGAACGGCTTTGGGAATAGTAACAACGAATTCCACGAAATTAATCGAGGCATTAAAGTTGAAAAACTACGTTGATTTACAGACAGCTTCTGAGAATGTATCTACTGGTGTAAGTAACGATTTTTTCGGGTGAGCAGCGTTTCTCAAATTTCAGATTATTTTAGGTTACTTTGGAAAATCCGTTAGCAGGAATATACTATGGTTATGTGCCAGAAGTCGATAATCCCGATGCTTTCTTTACAGGCAAAAGCGAACAACAGCTCTCTGCTGGTAGTTTCCAAAATGTACCTCTTTTACTAGGTACCACTTCGGATGAGTCTATTTTGTTTGGGGATTTAATAGGTGAACAATTTTTTACATATCATAACAACAAAGGTGATATTACTCTAATTTTTCTACAGGTTTTATGCGTCTTTACTTTCTCCAGTACGAAGGAATACCCAGTCGACTTGCACCATACGATCTTACAAAAGATTTTCTAAAACTCTCATTGGCAGGACAAGCGATTAAAAATCAATTTTTCCCGACTACAACCATTATAAGCCAGGATCAGCAGTTTCTACACGTATGTGTTTCCAAAAAAAAAAATGACTAAGAAAATTTCTTACAGAAAAATGTTTTAGTTCGTCAGTTCAGACCAATTCGATAGGCCAATTTGGAAATTCGGAACGCACGTTAGTAACTATCAATCTAAAACATACTATTACGAATTCGCTTACAAAGGGCCTACTGGTGATGATCTAGCAACAGCATCAGATGGTAAGTGATGGTAATTAATAAATCCAGAATTTTAAAATGGTATTTTTAGGCGTTGGTCACGGTGCGGATTTGAACTATTTATTCTTCAATTACAATTTAACCTCTCCTGCGGACGATAAACTCACAGCTCTAAGGCTCGCACGATTATGGGCGAATTTCGTGAAAACCCAGTAAGTTTGGTAATATTTCAACGTTATGGAAAAATTGTAGCCTGGATTTTAATTTCAGGAATCCAACTCCTTCGAGCGATTCTCTATTAGGAAACGTCCAATGGCTACCAATGCGTTCTGGAACATCCAGTGACTTGAACTATTTTAACATTAATGCTACACTTACACCATCGGTGAATTACAAAAATGAGGATATGCAATTTTGGAACAGCCCTGGCAGTGGAATTTATCCAGTATACGGAGAACCACCATATGATACTTATTAAGTTTATATTTCGATTATTTTATTTGGTCATCTTGAAATAATAATAAAATTGTTTATCAAAGTTTCTATTAATTACTGCCTCAAATTCTATTCTACAAATCCTAAGAAAGTATTCTTATCAGTAAACCTCGAAGATATTATGTATTGAGGTTTTGTGAATGAAATATTATTTTTTTTATTTAAGGGATATATTTATGGTTTTTTTATCTTTATTGTCGTATTTTGAATTATTCAGTAATAATGTTCATACTTTTATGATTTATTTGTGCTAAACATTCAAAGCATCATTTGCACAAGAATTTGAAATTCATAATAAGGCTTATTAGAGATATCATATTATTCGTTATATCTTTAGAATATTCATAAATTAAGATTAGTATATAAAGTCTGTTCAAATAACCGTTGTTCCAGGTGTCCCCCAATAGTCCGCTGAATCGGCATGTATTGGAAAAGTGCTATTTTTCTAGTTACCTTTGCGGTCAATTCCATTAAAACCGAGGTAAGAAATTATTTTGCCAGTGCAGCAAATGTCATTACAAACATTATAAATTCACTGTCATAACTTATCAAGAAATAAAATAATTTAAAAAATCGTAATACTCTACATAATACTCTACAAACACAATTTCACCGAAACAAAAGTACACAGACAGTAAAATTAAATAAGTACTGGAGGTCAAATTATTAACTAGCGAATTAATTTTACGTTTGAGTAACTTCAAATAAATATTATTACAATTAAGACAACTTTATCTTTACTGTTAGATTATGTTAAATAATATGCACATATTTATACAAGTTATGGATGATTTAATGAACATATTTGTGTAGGAAATCCGCTTGAAAATAGCTAATGGACCAATAGTGGGAACAGCCGGCTTTACAGCTGGATTGAAGAAGCCTTGGAGTGTATTCAGGGGAATCCCTTACGCCGAAACGCCCAAAAGATTTGAGGTAGGTCACTCGGTGTTTTTAATAAAAAAATTAAATAAACATTACCATTAGATATCAAAAGAGAAACAACCATGGACTGAAGAAATCGACTGCACCTACGACAAACCAGCATGTGTCCAAGGCGATCCAGCCGAAGGTTCAGAAGATTGCCTTACATTGAGCGTGTACACTCCAAATGTAACTAATCCAATACCACAAACATTTCTTCTACTAACCTAACCGATTTAAAGATACAAGGTAGCTACCCGGTTCTGGTGTGGATCCACGGTGGGTACTTGACCAAAGGAAACGGTTCTTACGCCGCCCAACCGCCCGATAATCTAGTAGACGAAGGCATCGTCTTCGTACAAATGCAGTACCGCCTCGGGGTGTTCGGCTTCCTCAGCACCGAAGACGCTGCTTTGCCCGGTAACTTGGGATTCAAAGACCAGCTGCTTGCTCTGCAGTGGGTGCAGAAGAATATCCAATATTTCGGAGGCAATCCTAATAAAGTTACCCTTGGTGGACAAAGCGCCGGTGCTGTGAGTGCTTCGTTACATTTGCTATCGCCCAAATCCAAAGGTACCAGTACCCATCAACTAATCATAATTTTGTTCACGATGTGATTTATATGAGTAGGTTTGTTCCAAGCGATGATAACAAACAGCGGTAATGCTTTATTTTTATTTGGCCGGAATAGAAGAGCAAGAAAAACAGCCTTCCTCCTTGGAACGACCATGGGAGTGTTTACAACAAATTCAACCAAATTAGTTGAAGAATTAAAGAAGAAGAACTATAAAGATTTACAAAAAGCCTCCGATATAGCATCGACTGCTGTATGTTATTAATTATCTTTTTAAATTCATTGGGGCTTTTAAATCGCTGTATTTTATTATGTATAGGTAACTTTAGAAAATCCCCTCGCTGGAATATTTTATGGTTACGTAGAAGAACAAGATGGTCCTGATGCTTTCGTTGTGGGTAAAAGTGAACAACGAATCTCAGCAGGAGATTTTCAAAACGTTCCCCTTCTAGTAGGCACTACTTCAGACGAATCGATTTTATTCGGTGATATAGTAGGTAATTTACCACTCATAATAATATACGTGGATATCACTGTAATGACGTTTTTGCAGCTATTATGCGCCTTTACTTTCTTCAGTACGAACTTATTCTCAGTCGAATTGCACCCTACGATCTTACTAAAGATTTGCTGAAATCGACTCTAGCAGGGGCAAATATCAAAAGACACTTTTTCAAATATACGACTCTTTTGAGCAATGACGTGCAATTTCTTCATGTAAGCATTTCCATTAATTTTTTATTTACAGCATAATTTAAGCAACAATTTTCCAGTTTGTGAGTTCAGATCAATTCGACAGGCCAGCTTGGAAATTCGGCACGGAAGTCAGTAAATATCAAAATAAAACTTACTTCTACGAATTCGTTTACAACGGACCCACCGGCGATGACCCGGTAACACAATCAAACGGTAAGTGATGGATATTACGAATTTTCCTGCACAAATAGGGTACTTTTAGGCGTTGGACACGGTGCAGATTTGAACTATCTTTTTTTCAATTACAATTTAACCGCCTCCGAAGGTGATAAACTCACGGCGTTAAGATTCGCGCGATTTTGGGCGAATTTCGTGAAAAACCAGTAAGTTTAATTAAGTTTCTTATGAAGAAAAATCGCATGAATAATTGAAATTTCAGCGATCCGACTCCTACGAGGGATTCTCTATTGAATAACACCCAATGGTTGCCCATGCGTTCTGGAACATCCAATGACTTGAATTATTTTATATTTAATGCCACACTGGCGCCTTCTGTGAATTATAAAAATGAGGATATGGAATTCTGGAATAATCCCACGACTGGAATTTATCCCGTTTACGGAGACCCACCATATGATACTTATTAAGTTTTATTTTAACGTTTCGTTTAATACCTATAACAATTTGTAATTAAATTGGCTTATTATAGGATAAAAAAAACAAAAGTTATATTTAATGCCTCCTCTAGCAGGATTTTTCTGTTGTTAGACTGCCGAAGCCCACTGGTATCAGCAATTTCATTTTACCTATTTTCTCAAGAAGGTTTTGGACCGATTTGCAACTACCATCGTTTTGCAGGAACATAAACGAGTTGAATAAAGGGTGGTTTTTCACCAATTGTTCCAGATCCAAGTCGTCGACGCATCGAGCAGGTATGGAAATTTGGGTTAAGTCTTTCATTTCCTTTATCCAGTCGAGATTGAATTTTTCCAATGGAGTAGGAGAGAGAACCAGCGTTTGAAGCTTCTTGAGTGGGTCAAACGCGCCTGCCTCGATAGTTTTTAATGGATTTATTGCAATAACTAGAATTCTCAATTCTAAAAACGTAAACAAGAATGAGTTCGGCGAGTTCGATTGAAAGTGTATAAGACGGAAGTTACCTGAGGATTCTGGAAAAACATCCGATGGAATTTTTTCTATATTAGATTTCATTATTTTTAAATCCTTCAAATTCTTTAAATCCTCTAAAAATTTCTTTTTAAATACTACATCTTGTCCACGTATAATCAAGTGTTCCAATTTAGACATGCCTTTAAAACTTTCTTCGCCAATTTTAAAAGAATTATCTACTAATTGAATACTGGTTAAATATTTTATATTTTTAAATGCCCCATTTATAGATGGTACAACGACATTTTCCATATTAACCTGCTTCAAATTAGGCAATTCCGGAAAGACAATCTCCTCCAACTTAGAATTAGCTAGAAATATTTTTAAATGTATCTATAATAGCTTACAAATTAATTGAATAAGACTGTTACCGATAGCTATAGAGTCAATTTGTCTGAGGTTTGGAAACGAGTCTTCACTAATTTTACCAGTACAATTAATCAGAATTATACCAATATTTTCGCTTGGTTGAATTTGACCAGAAAGAGGAATTTTATTGTTATCCAGTTTCATGTAATAGCAAAAAATGTTAGTATTGTTGAAACGGTCAGTATCAACTCTACAATCTCTGGAATTCTCAGTATCTTCTGCTTTAATCAAAACGCCAAACAGCGCCAAAATAATAAACTTGCTTCTAAAATTCGAAACGTTTAAAATTTTTAATAAGAGAATGCAATAAACGAATTTAATACTTACAACATTGCTAATAAATTTACTACTTTCAATTGAAACACCAAATACTTATGTAATTGAATTGCAACAACATTCCTATTTATAACAGAATCAAAATTGTTGTTGTTTTAAAGTTTAATTAGTTGTTGCTAACCAGATTATTCGCAACTATAAATACGAGGGGGAGGTAAAAAATAGTGCTTTCCTGTATACGTTTGAACATAAATTGCACGTGCTAATAGGGAATGGTTCGGTTTAATGGCAATATAGCGCAGAAGAGCGTCGTCGCCTAAGCGGTTTCATTCAAAATTTATGGACAAAGCAGATAGCCGTAACCCGTGGTATACAAATAACATAAGTGATTCTCGAAATATCTTACATGCGTTTCTCTTATTCCACGATTTTTTTCGCTCCATTGTCGGCCTGCACCTCGTCGAACGTCCCATGCATAATGCATTCGAAGAAACACGCGCGCTCTATCCCACAATAATGGCCGGCGTTTCGAGCTCGCCGTGTTCGAACAAATTATCTAGCTTAAATGACTATTTATAAATTACATCTTGTTCTCTATGAGCGTATTGAAGTCCGGCCGACGCTAATGTTCGCTAATAAATAAACGCACTGTATATACTATACACATGGAACGAAACGCGAGCGACGCGGCGAGTGGGCGAGAGCCATTCTATTCTAATGCCCATTTCGACCGGCCAACAGGTACTTCGAAAAGTACCCAAATAATTGATGGGTGCGATTCGATCGCAAGGTGTGAAATCGGCTTTAATTGCAACGCTTATTAAACGTTCCCTGGTATATGGTTTGGTTTTTTTCGCGAATCTCGCGAGGGAAGATGATTGTTTTGCAGTCGAGGGAATAAATGAAAGCTCAATCACAAAAGGAAGTTAACACTTAATTGCGATAGAATAATTATGCTTAAATTTTTTCGAAAATAACGAAGATATAGAACTTAAAAAAACTCAAAAATAGGCCTTTTTCTCTCTTAATTAACTTTACCCTCCCGTAAAGGATGTTTTCTTGATTTGTGTTTTTAAGTTTTATACTCATATCAAGTACTTAACAAGTAGATTTCCTAAATTGTAAGAACAAAATATTGCAGGAATTGATAGGAATCCTCGGAAAATTGTTATTATAAACTACTTCATTACGAAATAATGTAAATAAATATTTAATAAAAAATTATAAAGTTCAAATATTATCACTATATACAGTTTAAGATTATAATACAAACAATAAATAAATATACAGAGGATAATCCAAATTATCTACATAAAATCGAAATCATTAATTAACCAAAGAAAAACTAATAATTACTAAATAATTGCAAATTAAACCTAATGAAAAACTACACCTGTTAATAAGAAAAACGCCTATGCGGATGCATTTAATGCGATATGGTGTAGGTGCGTTTACGTAACGAATTAAATATCCATCGGGAGGAACGCATTAATTAAAACCGGAGCTCGTTGATGATTATGCGGCGGATTGTGCACTTACATATTCATTTGTAACAAAGAAATGCGCCTTGTTAATTATTAATTACCGCTCCGTTTTCGTAAGCGATTCGTAATGTTATGAATTCTAAAATATCGTCGGAATTAACAGTAAACAACCTTATTTAGTTTAATGTAAACCGATATTTTATGATTATACGTATATGAGCTTATCTTTACATAATTCATACAATTTCTAGCAATTATTCGCCGTCGGTTATTTATGGACAGTTCGAAGGAAACGCGCTCGTTTAATTGTTACACAGGATGGTCGCATTTATTATACCAGTTACTAGTATATCTACAAATAAATAATCTAAAACAAATTTAATTAGTTTATTATAGTAAAATCTGTTGGGTATAAGTTCCATCAACTTTTACTACTGTTTTAGTTTTTTCGAATGCGACCGAGTAGATATAGGTATGTAATTTTACATGAAACTTATAATTAAACGTTTGAAGAAATAAAAGTTGGCCCATTACGTCCACCATTCTGGAAGTCGGTTATTTATTACGTGTAAACGCTCATGCACCTCGTTTAATTATAGTGTTTTAACTGATCTATGAAGCATCCATATGCTAATAAACCGCTCCATCCAAAAACCATATAATCACGGAATAATTAGGAATTGAAGAACAAATTCGAAGGACCACCGAGAGAGCGATTATAAAGACAAAAAAAATCATTCGTTTCCACTAGAAAATTTTCCAGCAATCCGCGATTATCGGTCGGCGTATGTACGAGCGCGCGGCGCAATAAAATGTCCTTTTCCAAAGGTATCTAATTCGTAAATTCCTGCCGGAGACGGGCGCATCTCGACCAAACAATATCCGCAGATAACGACGTTAACGTACGATACCTCCAATATCCGTACGAAATCTCCACGAGAGTGAGTACGTGTACCCCGTTCGAATAAAATCTTCAGTCGCTCGATAACGCGCGTACGAGTCGCTTCGCGGGAATATAACTTTATTTATTGGCGCTTCTTTTATGTAAATTGTTTACAAATTCATAGCGAAAATGCCGCTTATCCGCGCATCTACAAGGCGAGTCGCTATTTTTCTTCGATTTCGTTATTGATGAATAACTCGAGATAATATTTACGGCGAGCTCTGTAAATTAAACCTTGCGTACGAATAAATCCTGTCGAATTAATTAAACCAGAAGCGAATAAATTCAAAGCTAAACCACCTTGATAATGTACTTAAAGAGTAAAAGGTCCTTCGTTTTCTGCAATTACGGTCGCTTTTTCGGTCTATTTCTTTTGGCCGATCAGCGGGATATCTAAGCGTATCTGTCGCCTAACAGAAATCTTTCGATAATAAACTACAAATAAAAAAAAGTCAATCCGTACAAATACGACTAACTGTACACCGTAATTACTCATTGTAATAATTAACTCGTATTAAACGCAAGACGTGAATGTCTCCCGATAAATATCTAAGATATAATAATTGATTTTCGTTGCTTTGTTACGGAAATTATTATGAAAGTTATTGTTCGTTTAATGTCAATTACCTTCGCTTAAAAATTACGTGTACTTAATTTGTCGACGGATAATAAAATGTTGCAAATTAATATTATATTCGTCAATTAAAACGATTATGTTGCGAAATTATTAGGGCCGAACGCGCAGAAACACCTGTACTTCCTTTACGTGTAATTGCACTCAAAGTGCCAAAAACCATTAACAGGTGTATCTAACATGACCAATTATATTTCGTTCGTCATCAAAATATAGTAATGCAACCTAATTTTGTATGCAAAAATCATTAAAAAAACTTGAATTATTGTGCAATAGTAATGTTTATTTTACTGCAATAGTGCCAATCTGTACAGTGTATTTAATACCCTACATGCTACTTCCTGATACCGAACGGAGTATAAGCATCTATACATTAGTACAGTCAATTTGTTCTAATTTTAATGAACATATAATTAATTCATTAAATTATAAGCGCGTATAGAAAAATTCATTCAAACTACCAACTCGAATTATGAAATATAACATTTAATTGCACCTGTTCACCTGTACAAGCGTATATCGTGTGCGATGCCCGTCGAATTTAACAATAATTGAAGGTGTAATTTCGATATATCATTTGTAGAGAACGTACGGAGAGAAGGCAGTCGTGCGTGTGGGTGCCCGCTGTATTAAATAAATAATTTAATAGTCACATATTGTTCTATTGTTCGCCGCATGCACGAACAAAGTGAGCCTTTTAAATTGACATGTCGTTACTTCTCGTCGGACCTCTCACTGATTCACGACGCGCTCCTTTCGCTCTCCGTTATATCCATTCGGACTCTGAGCGCTAACAGAAGGAATTTATTACACCAACTCACTTGCATACGCACTAAAATAAAGAGAGCCTCTGCTGAATAAAGCACTTTGTACCCTTATAAAGTACGTACACACCTAATGCAGGGTGAAACGTAGGTGTATCTAAATGTTAGGATGCCGGTTATTATGCGACGTCCCGAGAAAGCAGGTGTTAGAAAAGATTAAGAAATAAAATATAAAAATACATTCACAACGTCCGCGTCGTCTATTAAAAGAACAAGTAAATATTTTATCGAGTTGACAATATTTCTTAGCGGTAGAGATCACGCTGTTTTATGTTCCGAGCGGCATTAAAAACTGTTATGTGTATTTGATTTCGAATGTGTACGAGTTGTTTGTTCTACGAAAGCAACTCTGCGGGATTACATTGTTAAAATACTGCCTACCATAATAAGTGTTCGAATCGGAAAAAAACACCGGCAGGTATATTACAAAATTTGTAAAAACCTTCAATCATCAATTAGAATGCTGTACAAAAAATTTTACCCCTACAATTACTCGAACGGTACATCCGGGACACCCTGTACACTACACGACAAGTACTTCAAAGTGTCGACTATTATAAAATACCTAGAAATGCGTGTATCTACTCGTTTGAACCAGTACAGGCTAATTTCTGAAATAAAAAAACCCGTATAACTCTTTCGCCGGCGAGCCTTCTTCACAACTCGGGTTCCCACGCAAATAAAGTTATGTTTATGGTCCCGAAAGCCGTTTCCGCGTCATGTACGACATCAAACTTACGAATTCGAATATTTATTACTCCACACTCGGGTCACATTTTTATTTTTAATTAACGAATATCACGGTTTTCGTACATTCTTTCAGGTACAGATCGACGCGAGTAGCTAAAGACGACAAGGCTCTAGGTACGCGCTGTAGTAAATTTGATACAATAATTAACAAGTACCTAGTTATAATTACCGATTCAGAATATTTATTACTGTACCTCCCCGATGACTAAGGTATAGGGAGTAGGTATAGTAATCGATTATGACTTAGCGGTTAGCGCATTCGGGAGCTCCAGCTATTCCTGTCGGTCCGTAGACTATAAGATATTAGCATACTAAGTAAAAGTGCCGAGTCATTTTAAGTAACCGATCGGCGGATCAGAGGCGGCGTGGGCGTAGGATGTGAGAGTTGTCACGTGGCGGGACCGTCAGGAATCCGGTGCCGCCGCTCCCGCCATTGTCATCTCCGCGGCCCCACCTTGGGGACCCTCGCTTTTCGGGCGCATTTCTTCATAAATTAGCGTCGAGCGGAAAATGGGTCCCGGAGCGACCGGAGCGGGAAAGTGCCGTCGAGGTCCATCAGCATCGGAAAAAGCAATCTAAGTGATTTATACGGCGTTAGAAATAAAGCGAGAATAATATTAATGGCAGATGCCCATCAGCGAAAGGCCAACACTTTAGCCGGGTTATCTGATAGCTTGTAATAATGGACGTTTATCTTACGTCTTGATTTAGCTAGTCGAGTTGATTTTTACGCTTCGAAATTATACCTAATGTTCGCTCAAATTAAGCGATTATGCTTAATGTCTATTAAAGAAAAAGTTAATTGAACATAATGCGACTGGTAAAACGGTAATGTATCATGTTCCTCACTAACTACCTCATCTAACGAATATTGGGAAAATTTTACTTTTGAATAATTCAACAAGTGTTTTACTCATTAACGCTTCGCTCATTTACCGCTTTTGGAACGAAACTTTACTTTTGAGCGATAAATCCGAAGATAAGATTCGATTCGACTGGCATGCCTAACGATTTCCCTCGATAATAAAATCGACCTGTGTGGCAACTTATTGCTCTCGTGGAAATGTTTAATTGAATTTAATATATTTAACCCGTTTCAGCGGGAAGGAGAGAGCGAGAGAGCCGGCCGTTTTTCGCTCGGTTAAATTATTAATTATAATAGTTTACATACAAATAGCATGTGGGTTAGGATTGCACATCTGGTACGGTCCACATAGCATTCGTTAATTTACTATCGCGATAAAAGCTAATAACTTTGCTGAGCGTAGGCGTTTTCGTACGTTATTAGTAATGCTTCGGGTATCATAACGACCGATATGTCAAAAGAATTAATCGATCGGACGCCCCCTAGAATTCTAATTAAAATCCCATTCAACAAGGACTTTTAAATTCCAGATAACTTTTCATATATTTCATCTTCTTTGAAAGTTTATACAGGGTGTTCACGAACTTATGGCACTAAATTCTAAGGCTGGTGGTTTGCATAATTTGAGAGCGATTCGCAGATTTTATTTTTTGAAAAAATTTATAATAAACAAAATTTGAAATATTAAAAATATTCTAATGGCCCTATTTTGGTTATTATATTTAAAAAATAAATGAAATCTGCGAATCGCTCTTAAATTATGCAAACTACCACCCCTAGAATTTAGTGCCATAAGTTCGAGAATACCTGTAGAGAGTGTACAGCCCAAGTGTAAGTACTCGTACATACGGTGTTTTATTTATTTATTAAAAAATCTTGGGTATTTTGTTATACATACCAGCCTTATTTCTCCCATATAAATATGAGCGGTCGTAGTTGCGGATGCGTTGAATACCATCCACTAGTTATAAATCAGATATGTTCGTTATAAAGTACGTTGAGATATTTATTAATGACCGCAGAAAAACGCATATAATATCGACCATTCTTATTATGCTGATGCTCCTGCGACGGGAATTCTCGCCGGAGCAGATGCTGTACGAGCCGAGGGACTTTTTCCTGTGAGTGAAATTCCGAAAGTATTCCAGATTTTTTTATTCGCTTAGTACATACTGTTTTTATTTGAGCAAATAAGGTGTAAACAATCAGATATCGGGTTAATTCGAAGGGATGTCAAGCGATTTAGGCCAAACAGCATCGATTACATCTATATATAGGTAAACACCAAGGCACATGAGGACGACAAGAATTTGTTTTATCAAAACAATGCTTTCGGTTTTCATCAAATTTTTGGTCTAAAATTATTTTATTATCTCTCACGATTCGCTCCTTACTTCACATTAAAATCGTCTAATTAGCGCTGATTTCCTCCTCCCATTTCTTCGTCTAATTAATTTAAATATCGCAAGTTCGAGTTACCGAAGTGAGCTCATGAATGCTCGAACGTATTCATCAAATATCGTTTTTATGCGCTCCGTCTGTAGGTGGAATTGATAAGTGTAATTGTTAGACAGCCTCCGATGGGCGACTGAAACTTGTTTCGTAAATTAATTGTCCATTGTTATCTCGTTAATCATGTAGGATTTGTCATACATCGCTGACGGAAGTAATCGAAATACCAAATTGAACGATCTGCCTATCGCGCAGCGAATCATGAGAAAGTAAATTAGGAAGAGCCTGAACGGCGCGCGCATTGTTTTGATTGACATGCAAAAGGGTTTTTTTTTGGTAATGAACGACAAACATCAACAATCGGTGATCGGTTGGTAGCATTGAATTTTTGACAGCTGTCAAACGAGTCAATTTCATTGCTGCCAACCGCTTGTTTTAAGTCACCTATTTTACACTGTGAATACAAATAAGCTAGTGAAAGAAAAAATAAATAAATAAATAAAAAAAAAATCAAATCAAAATTATTTTATTATTTTTTTTGCATATAACAGAAAAAAAATCATAAAAAACATATCGCAGAATCTTAAACTTAAGAGAATTAAATAGAATAATATAACAAATTAAATAATTAAGTAGCTATGTCTTTTGTACATGCATTACAAACTGAACGAATCGAATAAATATACATAAATTATTAAAACGAAAAAGGTTTTCAACCGATCTTCAGTAAAATACATCGATAACAATCTTTTTTTTGAACACCTAGATAACCGATCTTAAATAATTAAAAAAATACATTTAACATTAACATATACAAGAAATTCGTGGCACAATTTTAATGTCGAAAATGTTACATTTCCAGAAACAGGTAACGTTTTTTGTGGCACACATTTAAACATCTATTTCTTTATTTACTTTTATTAACGAGATTAATCCGCCATTTAATCGAGAATTTTCGTTTGTCAAAACCAAAGGAATAATCTTGTAATAAAACATTTTTCAAACAGCGTAAATATTAGACAAATTGTGCTCGAATAATACATTTATGTGTCACATAAAACAAACATTATCTTAATGCCCAATGTCTAACGAAAAATCGCATGAAGAACAGATAAAGACAATTATGTATTTTTTGTCATTCGATTATATCATCATCAATATCAATATTCCTCAATATCAAAAATAGAAACGTAAAATTTATAAACTACTCTCACAAAAATAAAGAAACAACGAAATGTACAAATATCACAGTATTCGTATATCGTTAATATAATGAATCAGGAAGTCCACCGGTTCAGATCCTGTAAACAATCTACTCCTAGAAAATCTTCCTTTTACAAAGTTAAAAAAATAACGAAACTGCTATAGGTGAAACTAAACAACAAAGCTTCATTAACATACCGGCGGACGTTCACAATCAATCAAAATATTTATCTAATATCTTCGACGAAATATTTACAATTATCATGTTGTTCAATTAATGTCTTTATGTGCTGCTGTCTTCATGTCATTTGAACATACATTCATTTATAAACAGTTCGTTTATCTGTTAAGAATTTAAGCTCATCGAGGATCACACTTAATTGTTTCTCTTATCGATCGAAATGCTCCCGAGAACGATGCTTTACTGACAAGCAGCAAGAAAAATTAACATCATTAACGTGTGTTTTTTACCGGCCAAAATTATGATGAAACTACATTAATTTATTGTGCAGGATATTTTGCATTTTGACGAAATTCGAAAGTAAACAAAATTAACGATCGGAAATGGTATAATTTAGTAATAACAAACAAACCGATTCGAGCAGCTGTATTACGGAATTAGATCGATTTTTTTTACGGAACTTCGGGTAATTTAATTGCTGCGTGGGTTTGCACTCGAAAATGTCCTATTGCAGATAAGATCGTGCGCGATCCATCATTAATTAACGGAATTTATTAGAAAGTAACGAAAATTCGAATTGATAAAACGCGACCTTTAAGTAAAACACCGTCTAATTAATTCGGAATTTCTAATCGAATTAATTCGGATACGAGCATTTCGAACGATAACAGGGATATCTACAAAAAAAAAACGTGTACAAAAAACGAGTGATTTTTTTATTCATCCGGCATTAGCATATTGCCACTGGCCACGCATTTGGCACTGAATTTATTTTTTAATAAAGTTGTTATAGCGAATTTTCAAACTGGCCCGGCAATTTCTACGAGTAAGTGGAATGGTATGAGATCTTTCTTATAACAAAATTAAAAAAAAAAAAAACAAAAGGCAACAACGGCTTTGCAAACCAAAAATACTGTCGGGAATTCCAGTACGCGAACAGGACTAGATTAATACGAATTTAAGTAATTACATAACTCACCTTTTAGTGCGGAGATTTGGCCCCATCGAGTATTTTTAGTCAACGCTTTTACAAAATAATAAATATCGCGTCGCTAGAGCGTCACTCTAAACTCTAAACGCTTTGAACAAATATTTGATCTGTCGCATGTATTGTTAGGTTAATTTTGTTGATTCAAAAAATACCAAACTTTCTTAACACCGACTCTATTACAGAGGAATTTGAATAAAATTTTCTTCTATTGAATCAGGGCCAACAGTTGACCAACAAATCTTTACTTCCAATATTTAGCGATTTAATATTCCAATATCACGACCAATTCACAATTTCCACATCGATCAATTGCCACTAACCTTTCACTTGGCGACCAGTCCAATAAATTTCCCGATCTCGCGTTAGAGTGAATTCGCTTTAGCGACCCGTTAATAAAGAGAAAAAAAAAACCGTTGCGCAGATCTCAATGATTTTCAGCCTTAACGTGCTCAGCCTTAATTTGCGCGGCGACCGGATCCGGATCGAACCTGGTGTGCGTCCTCATGTGCCTGGTGATCATGTCCCTCCTGCACGCCGCGTACGGACACTGCGGACACTTGTACGGCTTCTCGCCGGTGTGGGTGCGCTGATGGGTGGACAAATGGTCCGACCTGGAGAACACTTGTCCGCACACGCGACACGTGTACGGCTTGACGCCCGTGTGCAGTCTCATGTGTCTGGTGAGCATGTCGCTGCGCGCGAACGACCGCTTGCACACCTCGCACAGGTACGCTTTGGCGGCGGTGTCGCCGTTGCTCTGCCGGCTCTTGTGCCTCGACGCCATGTGCTTGGCCAGCCTGTCGTGCAGGCTGAACATTTGTCCGCACACCGGACACACGTAGGCGACGTCCGAACCGGGCGGCATCTCCTCCACCACCGGAGACACCTCCAGATTGTACCTGGACGCGACGGATTCCTTCGTCGTCGGCGACGCCACGTCGCCTTTGATAACAGGTACGGAGACCGGCCCTCTGGGCGGTAGGAAACCGGGCGGGAGCAGTTGCAGAGGCGGCGGCGGCGCCGCGTTGTCCAGGTACTCCCTGCCGCGCGTCGTCTTCATGGAGAGGTCCAAGGGGTACTCCTGCGGCGACCAGTCCTTGCCGCCGGTGGAGAGGGCGAGCGGGTGCGGCCAGATCGGCGGCGCTCTCGCCCGCTCCGACTTGGCCGCCTCGAACCACATCGGCAGATCGGAGTCCGAATGGCTGCGCTTGCGGAAGATGTCGGGCAGGTACTTGGAGTGAAGGTAACGTTCGAAGCTGTAGGCGGGCGCCGGCGAGGAGGGCGTCAACGGCGATATCGGCGACGCCGGGAAGAAGCGGTCGTACGGGTGAAGGGGCGGCGGATGGTGGCCCGTCACCGAGCCGGTGACGCACTGGTAGCAGGGACAGGCGGTTTGGCGTTGGTACAACGGCGGGCTGGGGCTCGCGTCGTCTTTGATGCGCAACGGGCTGAAGCGGATCTGGGGCGAGTCCGTCGAGCTGTGGGGCGATTTGTTGCTGGAACTCGCCGGACTGAACACGTCCTCGTCCTCGCTGATTGTTTTGTACTTTTCTTTGTCGGGTATATCGAATTTGAACACCTCCGGCCGGTAGTTCTTCTCGTTTACTGATACGTGTATCGCCATGTCGCCTTTGTTGTTGTTGTACACCTCCGAAATGTTGTTGTTTGTAGATGGATTCTCCGGAGACGATTCGCTGTCTTGCGGTGATGAACCTCCACCTATAGAACAAACAATAATATTTATAGTATAGTTTGTAATTATTTTGTTTAGTGTTAATATTATACCTGTTAGTTTATCCAATACTTGACTCAGCCTCTTCCTCTTCTTGTTCCTACCGACGGCGCGGTGGTTTTGATTGAAAACCAATGGATGGTTATTGTTGGCCTTGTCATGGGTGGTGGTGCTCTCGGCCATAGTCATTTACGCGGGGCGGCAAAGGGCCGCGGATCCTACGTGCTTCCCCCGAGGACCTCGCCCAACGATACCATCCGATCGAATTGCGGGATCTACCGTATCGCGAGACACCGACTGCAACAAAAAAACACATTCTAAACAAAAATGCCAGGCGAAATAGTCCCATCTGCGGGTACTCGCTCGTCGAGCACCTGACGCTCGACCCCGTTTTTACGCGCGACACGCGACGACTCCACCGACACGGGTCCTCCGCCTCGGGGCCTCCGCCGAAAGAAATCGCGGCGAGGCGATCGAGTACGTGGTGCAATGCGGCGGGGGTGGGCGCATTGCACTCAGACAGACACTGCACTGCGGTGGAGGCGGCATACGATTTCGCTGCAAGCGGTTTTACGACCCACGAGATGCGGATATCGCTATTATTCACTGCTCGCTGTTTCCTCCGAAAAATTCACATTTTTTTAATATACCCCGTTCGCCAACAGATTTGAAATATCCAATATTTGTATGCAAAATGTATGCACGAGTAACTCGAAGAAAAAATCATAAAATTCCAAGCGCTTTTATCTACATTATATAATAGTAATATTTATTTTACTTTAGTTGTACTAAAGCTGTACAAGGTGTATAATATATGCAATTACCTAATCCTAGTTATAGTAACCTAAAAAAATTACTTTCAATAAAATTGTATCAAATTAGTAAATCAATAATGCAAACTGTTTATTTATTTATTGGCGCGCCTATAGTTTCCTCCTTTAGGAAAGTTTTGTTAGTTTCTCATGGGGAACGGAGTATAAAAGTTATGACTAAGTATATTTTAAGCAATTCTTTCGCCAATTATTGAATGTAGTATATCATGTAAGAAGCCAATCGAATGGCAGTCACTCGACTGGTAAGTACAAACTGTCGCAAAGAGATGAAAAGATAACCGGTAAGGGAATTTGTATTCAAAGCGTTCTCAGTGAATTTAAACACATACGCCGTTGGCCAGTTTGTCATACTTATAAGGAGAAAACGGCTTACAAATATTCGAGGGAAAGGATGGTGGGTGGTTTTTTATTTTACTCGGCGCATCGTCGACTCGGCTAACATTCTGATTTTACCGTACGGATTATTTTATAAATTTTCCGATATATTTACGTTACCTAATTGTCTTAAAATACTAACCACCCACTTCCCTGTTCGATACTGGTAAAAACCCATTAGCTAACTGATTAGGTTTCTGCAATGATATAAATAAAAAAAATGCGGTAATTCGTGCGCGAGGATGCGGTCAGCACTTCCGTTTCGTTATTAAAAATACCTCCGCCCAACCGATTTTGCTGGGAAATAATCTCTTACATAATTATCTTTAAATTACTCATTAATTCTGTGTTTCTGTTTTACGCGAGCGTATTGATGATGTAGCAATAATAATGGAAACGTTACCGCAAACGTCCAGAAGCTCCGTGCATTTCGCAAAATTAACACCTTTCAGGTGGTGCAGAGAACAAACTACCGAACAATTGTTAATTTATGTAAAGTGCGGTCGCGATTTGCGCCTCCAGTTATATCGCATGATAATGACCGGCGTTCGCTGAGTGCCGTATCATATACCATTATAGTGCCCGGTGGATTCCGACACCCACTTCTTGCGCTCGAGGATTTTGTAATTAACACCGAAAGGCACGTAAAGTGCGCGCTCTAAGTATAAAATTACTTTCTAGCACTTTGTTTATTTAACGCGATGTGTACTGTACGATTGTTCACGAGCAACTGACGCTCCCCACCTCTTTTTAGACGTCCCAACGCGCAGCTGTTAAGCGCACCGACGAGTGCGTTGCTATGGTAATTTGTGTGTAAACAAAAACGAACTGTCAAAATATCTTGGGAGTAAATAAATGCGTGGAAAAAGGGGAATGATTGATTGGAAAAAACGAAACGTTTAAGATTCCTCGATGCCTTTATTTGCCGCAAAAATTTCTCGACGTTTCGAACCTTTTTAGAAACGTGAGAGCCATCGGAACAATAGATTCTCCGAATCGGCTTCCTAATCGTCGCGAAATGCCGTCACAGAATTTTATAATTGTTATCAAGAGGGCCGTTAAATTTTACGATCGAGGCCGTCTTGGATAAAAAAAAATCGCAGATTTATTTCTCCTCTGTCGGGTCGGGCGACTTAAACGGCGGAGGCCATTAGGATCATTAGATTCACTTGTCAGTGTATTATCCAGAGTCCGATAGAATGAGGCAGCATCACCTTTCATTTAAGTCTCTAATTAATGGTTTCGATTTGCTTTTTTTTTTCTAATCGAGAACTGACTTGCAATAACTCGCCTTCTGCTACTCGTTTGCTACGTCATAACAGGAATATCTGTAATACATCTAGTTTCTGGTAACATACTAAAATCCCTAACTGAATACAAAATTTACACTGTTGCCAGTTGAAATTTCGTTGTAGTTTCACTGTAAATAAAAACTTTTCGTTATCCAGGCTATTAACATCAATTATACTATTCGTTTGGAAGAAAAAAAACGGTTTCTTTAATATTCGTTGGGCATTATATTAGTCACGGTGGAGCGAACGAAAATTTTTTGGCAAACGCACTGAAGAGAATTTCGTTTGAGTTTACCCAAAATTTTATGGCAAAAGAAATCGACCGCGGTACGTTTGGAGCAACGCGAGCGACAGACAATAAACATTGTAATGCGTTTACGGTGGCATTCGTGGAATCTAAAAATAAATAGTCGCGGCCGAAATGAGATAAATAACGGTAGAGGAAAAGGGAATTTCATTCACATTAGCTCGCCCTATATGGAGGATTATGCGTTATGAATCTAGTAGCATCGGTTCGATAATCTTTAATTGAAAGTCTCCGGAGAAGGATAATTCTGTTCATTAAAATCTAATCCGGATAATCTCGGGTGCTGACCCGCATTTAATCGATAGGCGTACAAGTTTAATACACCTACCGACTGTCGGTAATGATACCGAATTCTTGGGATGCCTAATAAAGACCTTAATTGTGCATCGGTATTAAAAATTTCCGCTTGCTTGAGCCGCCCGACAAGACAGTATAAAATTCTAATCTCGTTTAAAAAAAAAACTTGGATTTATTACACCGTAAAACGGCCTATTTCGGACCTAATCTAAATTTCAAATGGAGCAATCTAATTAATCCGCTTAACTTCTGGCGATTTTTTTCCGAACCGAACGTCGATATTGTTATTTTTAACTACGAATCATACTTAATCCTTACACGCCGCAAATCCATTATCGCCGAAACGGACGCTCCGACGAGCAGAAATCCACCGATCATTTTAATTCAATTCAAAGGGAGCGCCGGGACCAAATCACCAAGTGTCCCGCAATAAAGAGAAAGTATCGCGCCCGACCATCATCAGTGACGAATTTAAGAACGCCATTAAAAAAGCGACAGGTCAATATAACCGGAAATTTATTCCGACACCTCTCTCGCCTATTACCGAATTTACGTACTCGCTAATAAATATTTATTCAGTACGAAGGAAATTTTATAGTACAGTCCATTTTTTCTTCTCATATAGTGTACTTTTTATACCTATGGATTTCGAAGTTCCTTTCAGCATTTATTTGATTTTTAAAGTACTAATTTTAGGTACATATTTGAATTTTTTTTATAATGTTCTGTAACTTCTGAAGCTGTTTTAATCCCATTTTCAAGTTTTTTATCATTTTAAATACTGCCGAGCTATTATTGTGGTAACTTTTTAACACTTTTCATTTCCATTTTGCTGATTACATTGCATAAAATAACATTGTAAAACCTTTATTTATACAGATTATTCAATTTAATAGTTCAAACCACAGATTAAATATAACAACGAGATATCCTTCTGGTTATTATATTTATTCTGTGGTTCAAACAGTCACATTAACCCGCACTTTTCATTTCCCATTTCTCATTTCTTCTTCTAAACATGAGGCTATTAAATGCAGCCATTATTAATTCGAACATATTTCCTTTGTATTAACATCAAAAAATCGGTTACGATTTCCTTCTCTGGTTGTTCGATTAATCGCCTAAGTGAGGTCCTTAGATATAATAACGTTTTGTAGCGATCGATTAATCTCGAGATGCGATCGATTAAATAAATCTATAGAAGAATGGTAACTCGTAGAATGGGAATCGATTTCCGGCATTTCCAATACTTTTATTGACTCTATTACTTTACGCGATGCTATCTGGTCGGGCGGTCAGCCAACAATGCTGACAAAATTTTAATTAGCAATTAAAAGAACACAATCGCGCCGTATTGAAAAAACATCGATCAAATTCGGCCTATCGGAACATCGATATATTTGGGTATTTCGAACATAATCGAAATTTCACAACACGAATTAGATTTCAGATAAGCCGGTTATTCACGGCGCAGATGTACATAACAGTAATTAAAAAAATCTACTTTTTTAAATAAAGTTTCGTTTGCGATTTTAGTTTTGCCTTTGCGTAAAAACGTAACGGGCTTTTTATGCAAAACAGACGTGTAAACGCCAGCAGAAAACCAGGTTGTCACTGCGAAGAGAACATTAATGCAATCCCCCTTCTTCCACGTTCTCCGCGGTGATATAGTAGCTGACACCTACGTAGTACTTGCGCATTTTATGTAATATATTTATTACTATTTATGTGAATATGCCGATACGGACGAGATAATTTTAATTGCAAATGAATTGGACGATAATTTCAGTCCGTTCTTTTGCCTTCTTTCGTTTTCTTTTTTCACCAGTTTCGCCTCTCGATGGAAGTCTGTTATTGCATACAAATGTACCAGCCGATGTATAAGCGCTTATACGACTCGTAAATATTACTCAAAACTGTAAATTTCTGATGCTTTGTCCACTACAACGATAAAAAAAATCACTCATAAATATGTTTCAACTCGCTTCTTAAGATCAGTATGGGTTCTTAGATGAATTTGTTAAAAAGATTTATTGTTATTAAAAATAGTTCGAAATATCTCATCACATCTTTTCTCATCTCAATTTTTACATCTTTTTGTAGTTTTTTTCGCACAAATTTGCCGAGTGAAGTAGCACGTTGTAGGTAACGAGATTTAATCGTGATAAACGAGAGTAGGTAATTTGTTGCATA